CTGAATACTTTAAATAATAAATATTTTCCTGTAAACTGCCTTCATCAAACCTCTTACAGCAGCAGTCATTCTAAAAGGCCTTTCCCAGTGAAACTCCGGCCGAATGGCTGCCCACTTCCCTCCAACTCCCAGCAAATCCCCTCCATGAACGTGTTTTTTCCTCTGACTCCATCCTTTCACTGAATTACAGGGTCTGACCAGGAGATGATGCTTCTCTTTAGATCTTAATGTTCACAAATCATGGCAGAAAGAATATTTTAGTACAAAGATTGATGTTTAAAAATAAACCTTAGAGGACCAGCCAAGGATCCATTAAAGAAGTGGGGAAATTATGAATGTTAACTACTGTAACTAGCATTAATGCATTAATGATAAACGATCAGTCAGAATCTGACCTGTATAGAAAAGGTCATTTCTGAACAAATGGGACTAGAACTTCAGTCTTGGTGTGACTGGATCCCAGTAACTGGCTGGTAACTGGTACTGGGCTCAACTGGTTCAGATCTTAGTCAGCAGGAAGGGATCACTGTGTTATTTGGTGACTTTAAATCTGGTCAGGAAACATTGAATCATCCTCAACGTTTCGATCCTGACCCATTTTTAATTACCGCCTATCTGATCCCAGCAGCTCAGATCATACAGCGCCTCCTCTATACGCTGATGACACACAGCTTTATATCTCTGTGAGCAGTGTTTTATAGTAACGAAGTAAAAACACTTCACTACTGTACTTAAGTATATTTTGGAGTACTTTATACTTTCCAAGAATATACATTTTTTGAGAACTTTCACTTTTACTTCACTACATTTAGGAACTTAATAGCATACTTTTACTCTTTTAAACTTTTCAATGTTTGGTTTAGTTACTAAGTAAAAAATAAATAAATAAAACGAGCGTGAGAAACCCAAGTGTTTTGACCCCCCCCTACTGCCTACAAAGTCGGGTCTTGCCTGGGTTCGTTCATCAACACCAATAGGATACGCCTGTTTCCCAAAGCCAGTCTAAATGTATCCTACACCTGGTTGTTTATATTATTTTAGGTGAATTTAACCTTCAAAATTTACCAAAATGTAAAAACATGTAATTCAAACTGCACTACTTTTCACTACATTACTTGAGTACATCTATTTTTACAGTAATTAGACTTTTACTCAAGTAACATTTCAGTCAGTGACTTGGACTTTTACCAAAGTTATATTTTGGAGAGGTACTTATACTTTTACTTGACTCCCAGATTTCAGTACAGTTCAGTTTAGACAGCACTGTCTGTGAGGCTCACTGACTACGTGTGGTTTTAGATCTTAACATTTACAGTTCGTCACTAACATCATTGAAACATCAGCAGGATTGATTCCCAGCAGGTCAGATCAATAAACCAGTTTATTCACAGTGGAAATCAGTAAAGCTGCTGCAGCTCAGATCCTGACAAACA